AACGAATGGAGTTCGGCTGTACCAGCCGCAATTTCCCCCCCCCCGAGCCTCCATCGGATTCATTGTCTGCTCTAGTCTCGAACGCTATATCTCTGCTAATGCTATTGCCAGCCAAACCAAAAAGACTCGCTCAGGAAGTGCCAATAGCTTTCTTCTTCTTCTTTGTTTCAATCCGTCCAGTAATATCACCGAAACACAGAAGACGCTATTTTGTGCGAGATGAACAAGTTAGTTAGCCTAAGGGTTCTCCACAATTACTGCCAGTAAATGCATTTCTCTGTTCCTGTTGAGCAGCTCGCGAAATAAAGCCACCTGAAGTAATGCCCGATTTTGCCAACACGTGCTCACGTCGGGCCACAGTCGAGAGCTGCTCTAAACGTGTGATTTATTTTCCTGCACACACACACACACACACATTCGTAAGGAACCAGAAAGGTCGATGTTAGGAGTATCAATCCACCATTCTGCTGGCTTGGCGAACTCCTTCAAATGTTATACACTATAGAACCCTGCGAGTGTAGGCATCGAATAAACAGCTGACATAAATGCGAATGTGTTCCGTTGGTTGTGCACACTTTGCTCTCGAGTTCACCGTCGGGCGTCCGTCTGGATTTAGGTAGGAAACCAAGTGACGCTTAGTACAAGGCAGAGATGTGGAGCAAAATTGCACACATGTGACAACAAGAATTGGGCAAAATGTCTGCAAATGCTGTTCTCGGACCTTCGGTATTCGGTCTCCGTCGTTGGCGAAGGGAATGAGTTGAGCTGTCCAGATCTGCTGCCGCTGATCGTCACGCGTGGAGAGGTACAGTTCGGGACATCATGGAGGTCGGTTAGATCAGGCATGATCGCAGCCGTATCAAATAAGTAAGTAAGTAAGCCGACGCGAACCAACGTAATTACGCCATGAGTGTATACTTGCGTTTAACTAATTATCACGGCGCGCCTACACATCAAAGCCGTCAAAATAAGCGCCAATCATGAATGCTTAGAGGGTCGGAATGTCCACGAAGTTTCTTATGAGATGAAAAGCAATTCTGTTAGGCGCAGAGGCCATGCATTGGCGGGGGCATACAGAGGGAAGCATGAACGATTCAGACATGGAAGCAGTTGAGGGAAACATGATTATGATGAAAAAATATACGCACTCATTTAGGTTCTATCTGAAGCAGCTCTGCTGGCGATGCCTTCTTCCTGGACTGAGCGATTTGATTGTTTATATCTTGGTTGATACATTAAACTCCGCATCCTCAAGTTGCAATTTCCCGTGAAGAATTAGTGCTCAGATCCGCCGTCTATTTTACAGAATTACCATGCAGCAAATTGTCCAGCCGAGTTCGACTAAAGATTTTTGCAGGGACTAGTTAAAAGTATTGGTCGAACACTGTGATTTCTGACCCTTTTCCGTATTTTTGCCCACGGAAGATTAGCTGGATCACTTTGAATCGGCGAATCTCTAGGTCGACAATAAAATTCCATATTTTGGACAAATATTTATTTTACTCCAATTACATAATGTCCCTTCTCAGTTGAATACCCAGTGTATCGTGTGAATGTATATAGCTTTTTGGAGTCCTCGTTGGATTTGGTAATGCAATCTCATGTTTTCGAGCATTTTGCCTCGTTTTCAAGGCCTCAGCATCAGAATAGGTGATAACCCACAAGAGATAGCCTGTGTCAGTTGCTGGTCTTAATTAAGCAGAATAGCGTACATATAGGCGGGTGTATTGCTGCTTATTCCAGGTGAATTGCAGTAAAAAGGGTCTACGGAGTCGACTATCACCTTGCATTTCATCCTAATGGGCGCTGAATTGGAAGGAGCCTCCACGAAGACGGCTCGCTAAAAATGCAAATTTTCCAGGAGCAGTTCTTGCTACTGACACGGATATCATTTCTTTACCTGCATTTGGCACAATTTTGAATTCCATGATCGAGCTCTCAGTCCAGAAGTTGCAAAAGTCAGCTGAGCGCTGTTTTATTTGCACGGATAAATAAAAAATGGCGACCTGAGAGAAACAAGCTCAAACGCGAATTGGCTAGTAGTTCTAACTTCCCCGTGTTTCCCACGGGGAAACACGGGGATAGGGAGATCTGAACGCAAATATTTCGTGATTTTGCAAGATTTTTATTTAATCCTTGAAAGTTGTACGGCCTCAAGTCACTTGGAGAGGAAATACACACCAGCGAAATAGAGGTGCAATCAGCCTCTTTAATAGACGTTGATTTGGTAGACACTCAGGCAGAATAGCATTACCGACAACGACAAGGGAGACCGGAATGGCCATTTCTGGCTTATTAGCCGTCGTCAGCCAGCCATACCCAAACCCGAAGTGTGGAACACCCAAGTCTCGAACTCGCGACCTGTTGGTTTAGAAGTCCACCCCTCTACCCACCGGGGATCGGGTGTTCCACACTTCGGGCTTGGGTATGGCTGGCTGATGACGGCTAATAAGCCAGAAATGGCCATTCCAGTCTCCTTTGTCTTTGTCGGTAATAGCATTCTGCCTATATATCATGCACCGCTGTGCGGCTGCTGGTTGGGCTCGAGAGAGAGAGCCCTTAAGGCACAACGGAACGAGTGAGTTCGGTATGAACGATCGGTGAGCGCCCCCGACCATTGGTAGACACTTGTAATATAATGCGTGAGCAACCTTTAAACAAGCAGCCATACAGCCCGCTGCTACTTTTAGTTTACAACTAATCAATTTGACGGAAAGTCTAAATAGCTAACCAGGCTGGTCGAGGGAATCCACTTCCTCTTGTAGATGCCGGCAGCCTGGTGGAAATCGCACCTTGGATCCTGCCACAAATGGAGCTCCTGGACGAGCCAGGAGCATTTGGTGTGTTATTGTTGACTAGCCTCTAGAGCGACTAATATATGCGTCGTGCTTTCCGCACCTACACGCAAGCGGGTGAACAGTCTGACTCCCAAGCGCCGACTGGTGCCTGTGCTAACTGCTTCAGCCAATGTCGACGCAGCCAGCCGGAACAAAACGAGGCGCAGTTGGTTAGTCGATTTCCCAAAATCAGACCGGCCGGCCGTCCGTCTATTTTACCAGTTCCTATGGCGACAAGCTTGTGACGAAGTCCAAAATATCGGTCAGGAGAATTTTCCACCGCCCGACTCATATATTTATCCCCCCCTCCCCTTCAGGCAACTTTGGATTTCAACTTTCCATAGTAGGATTTAGGAAGTTTCTCCTCTTAAGCCCTCGTTTCCCGCCCTGTCAAGCTCCTAACTTTAACGATATAGCCAACGATGAGGCGCCTGTTTGCGCACTACCTGTGTGGGAACAAAATCATATCCCCTAGCCTGAAAAAATTACACGAATTTTAATTATAAGTCCGTCCACCCTCCTCGCTGACGCCAGTCTTGGATTCTTTCGCGCCTTGCACATTTAAGGCGAATGAGACACGGTCCCAGACCGCCCTGTGCGATTCGTCTACAGCTCCGCAAATGCCCTGGACAAATGTTGTTGCCAAAACTGTGTTTGAGAGCACTTCTGGAAACTACAGGTATCTGCATCTGCCCTCATCTGTGTAAGTATATGCATTAGCAAGAGAACTTCCAACTCGACCTCTGCTTGCGCTCGCCGCAAAACGCAGTTTTTGTGTACTGTCTGCTAGTTGTATTACCACCGCCCTTGCGTAGACACCAACCAGGGTTTTTCACTTTACGCGTCTGAAGCCGACTTTCTCCCAAAAAAGCAGCAGGGCTTTTGTTACTATGCCTACTGAACCCCAGTCGATTGCAAATGTTCAAATTTTGCTATGATCGGAACTTAGATTTCCTTGTGCTACATGCCGAGGTGTACCCCAACTGTCAGACAAACAACGTCCGCGAATCCTATTTCCTTAAATAACATCGTAGGTTATTGGGTTAGATGGCAGTTGGTAGCCAGGAATGAGGAAGCGGACGGCGACCTCAACCATAATCTTAACCTTAAGCCTAACCCGAACCCTAACCTCAACCATAAACGTTTACCGTTAACCTTAAGGACAGCCCTAATCCTAACCCTAATCGGAATCGTAAAAGTAACCGTAGTCCTTAGACATGGCCGTAGCTGGAAAACCTAACCGTAATACTGAAACCTTATCGTACGCTCAGACCCTAAGCGTAACCCGAAGACCTAAGTTTAAAGGCATAACCCTAACCCGAAAATCGGAAGTCATTAACCGGTATATAACTCCTAACCTCAAACGTAAAACTGAAGCCAAGTGGGGCTGATGTGATTATGGAACCCCACAAAATAGCCCCAGTAAAAAAAACCTCAAGCCACCTGTAATACGGGGCCTGGATATCAACTGCGATCTAGCCGGTTATTGTTACTAAACTGTCCACTTTGGAGATTAAAAATTCCCCCCCCTCTACGACGAAGCGTTCCCGCCGTATTAGTTCACGCATAACATTTGGCCGATATAGCTTCGGGCCCTTCATGTCAAAGCCTTACACCACGCCTTAACCTAGCAAAATAGTTTTGACACTGCCGTCGACAGTCTGATTTCTTCTGCGGAAAACTCAAACCTTATTTGTGCTCAATGAGATCTTTTTAGGTAAAAAAATAGAAAAGTTGAAATTGCCAGCGCGTCAAAGCAGGTAAACACGCAAGCACACACACACGTACAATAAGCCGGCTTACTCTTGAAGGGCACTCAGAGTAATGGCGTATAAAAAGGATCTCCGATCAAGATAGACAACACTTCAGCACGGGGGTTTTTAGATTGTCAGGAAAACGCTCTCGGTTGAAGAGTATGGAAAGGAGGGACTGCTTCCTCCTTTTCTTTCATTTCTCCTTCTCCAAACGTCCAAGGAGCGTTGCTTTGGACTGAGAGTTTTTTTGTGTGAAAAGCACATAAGGTTGTTTTCCTAAACAGAAGTTCAATTGAGTAGGCTGCGCAGAAACCAACTGAGGCATTGGATTGTCAAGATGTTGCATAATCCATACGGACTAAAATATGTAAATCCCGGAAACTTTCGATCCTGGTCATTTACTTCCAAGCTAGGATGGCGGTGGGGCTGGTCGTGGACTTGGGGGGACTGGGAATATGGTGTAAATTTGTGGCCTACTGTCGGATCGGTTGGTGGCCTGCAGAGGCACAGAAAGACCCGTCTGCGGAGCGTCCGATGCTCCTTCCTGCGGTGTTTCGGAAACATTTGCTTGCGACCGACCTGTCTCCGGCTGGCTCTGCTGTTGCCTTTGCCCAGAGGCAGTCTGATCGCCGTGGTCAGGCAGTCGGCCAACGGAGACTCGGTTATTGCGTTCTGCCTTCAATGCCTCCTTCGGTGGCACCTGGACAAGTAGCACGCGGTTGTGGTCTCGCCACCTGATCAGAAGGTCAACGTAGAGACGCCATTGGACGTAGGTGTAGATGAGGCCACCGCCAATGCCTATTGCAATGACCAGGAGTTTAGTCCAGAAGGCCCAGCCCATGTTCTGTTCTTGCACCTCAGCGATGACGCGCTCAATCAGAACGAAGAGAGACCAGATCACAGTCACAAGGGCGAGAACGTGGAAGGTCACTGAGCAGATTAAACGACGCCGCTCCATTGTAGTCAGGGGTAGGTTTTGCCACTAAAAGGTCCAAAGAAGTGGCACGGCCGGTGATAATTACTTGTCGCGGGAAATGCAAATACCTGTTTAAGACTGGGAGGCAAAGTGAGAAAATACGCCTTTCCACTGGACTGCGCTATCAGAAACACTTTGGCGGGATGCTATATAAAAACAGGCAAGCCGACACACGAGAAAAAGGGCGTCGTGGACCAAATTACCTGATGCGTTCGGTATTATGTCAAAACAAAGAACTCCGTGGTACCGATTCCCTACATAAGGTATTACAGGCACATTATGGTTCTAAACTGTCTTGTGGTTCATATTTCCTCCTCCGTTCTGTATGGTGGCCTCTCGGCAGCACACGAAGTGGCCCTTTCTGCCAGTATAGCTAACATCGCGGTCACGGCTCTTTGAATGCTTGGTGGTTGATTGGAGGGAAAGCCTCTTTTACCTGTCAGGATCCGTTCTGCATTCTGTTCAACCGACGAAGTTTCAAACTGCCTTTGCAAATAGCCGACTTATTTGTTTTCAAACCACGCCTAAGCACGGACAGTAGGGGCCTAGATGAGAAGGACTTCATTAGTCGGTTGGCGGTAGCGCAAGTTAACGCAGTACTGAACAAAACTTCCGCCGGATCGCTAATAAGGCGAGCAGGAGTGACCGGAAGAAGTGATTGGCTGGCGTAAGGCAAGCAAGCAGTCCATAATATTAAGTCAGTCGACGGTTGACTAGACAGAGGGCGGAAGCACTACTCCACACGAGATGAGTCAGCAGGAGTTGGTGCTGTAACTAGCGTGCGCATGAAGACATTTGGACATTTGGACGCTCATTGGAGGCAAGCTTTATTCGCCCACTCTCCTCATCGCAAGGGAGGAAAGCAATGGGATACAGAGAGTACCCTCTTAGAAAGCTGGAAGACAGCTCGTGAAAGCCATCTTTGCCTCTGAGCATCAGGGTCACATTTTTTGCATTTTCTTATGAACAAATGTGGGTAGTTGTGCTGCTATCCAACTTCCGTTGGGTGCGATATCAATTGAAAATTACAGAGGGTTTACTGAGGTTGACGGACAACTGGGCAAAGAATGCCGTAGATACGTAGATTTCCTGTTTTCGGCAACAGTGCAAAAATAGGATTATGCCCTATGGCGGTGGAAAATAAGTAGCAGGCTATCGGAAGCACCCCTTTTTGAATACGTGCTCGGAAAGTTTTCACGTTTCCAGGACAGGCGAAGGCAAGATCTCAGTTAGTAGCCGTACCTGGTAGGGGTTAGATGTTAGGAATCAGGGGTAGGAGTTACGAGTTAGGGCTATGGGTTAGACTTGAGCTTGTCTACTGCAGATACGGCGACAAAATAAGATCCCACCAAGGTGAAAACCAATCAGCGGACAATATTGGATGCGGACATGGAGAACGCCGGACCGGTAACAATCGGGAGATGGCACCCAAAAAATCCGGTACCTAGACATAATAACTTTAACAGTGGACTCAAACGCCTTCAGGCTATATCAGCGGTTTCAGGCCTACTTTCACGCACTACTTGGACTTTCCCGACGGCCTAACATGGGCTGGGCGAACGAACATCGCAGGAGGTTACATGGACGATGGTGGCTGTTACCCAACCTTCCCCATCATTACACACGTACACCAGAATATACGGCATACATTCGCACTATGGCAGTTTATTACAAAACAAAATCACTTTTAAATAGGGTAAGTCTGCACAACATGGGACAGGAACAGTTCCCAGGCATCTGTCAAAGACATGGCATTGAGGCCAAACCAAAGACGATACTGTACTTCGTCTATTAGAGCCCACAATGCTCGACCACATACAGGGCCTCCCTCGTAGAGTTTCCATTTCAGTCTACTCCAGTATGCCTCAATGGCATTGGTGTGCCGTCCGGTGGTAGGGTGCTTGAAGTTCTTTGAGTGGTTAACAGAGAGATGTAGATAACCTTCTGAGGGAAGACGATTGTACGCCTTCCGCTCGTTCGTTACCACTACACCGCCTTTGTCGACCCATTTTGTAATAACGGAACGGAGAGCGGGCCAACTTTGATCATTCACCTGTTCAAATAAGGCTTTCTGTCGGCTAGTATCGTCCATTCCGACCAGCCACTACCCATAAAACCCCTATTACCACATGTCCCGTAAGACAGACTGCTTTGGTTAGGCGGTTTTTTTGGGTGCCACCTCCCGATTGTTACCGCCGGACCAAAATGGGGTGACCTATGTTTGTCCATTTTGCGTTTGCTTTGCTGAAATTCCCTCATAGCCTGACATCTCGGTGTCGGCACCTTTTCTACATTTGTACGACCGCGAAACGCTTTTATCAGTCTGCTCAGTGCAAATGCGCATGTTTGTGCTGCCGATCCGGTCAAGGGCATGGCTGGTCAAAGAGCACCTACATAAGCTCCAAACGGCCGTTGCCTGGGTCTGTCCGCGTCTTCACCAGTCGGTTTCTTCCATTATTCGACTTGCCACCCTGTTGGTGACCCTCATAGCTGCTCGTTTCAGGGCTTATCTGTCCTTGAAAAATCACTGCGGATAGGTTCGTGCGTTCATGATTGTGTGACATTTTCGGTTTGTTTTTTTTCTCAGAAGTATGACGGCCATAAGAGACGCTGCTCGTCTTCACATTTGGTGGCTGCTGTCTGGCTCTGGTTGGAGCATGTTTCATGGGTCTACCGACATGAGATCCGTGAAGATGTTGTTGCAAGCTGCAAGCGATCCAGCACAAAACCAATTACTGAGTCCGTGTGCACAGCACAGGAAAAAAAGGATAGATCTCAAATTTCGTACGTCCCCAATGCAGCACACTCGAAATCTCCAGATCGTTTAGTAAGGATCGCGTAATCACAACTTGCGGGGCCAGTGATATGATGCGGCTTCCTCCTACGGCACCCACGAGGACCCAACTGCGGCGATTTAGGGCAGCCTTGAGGTGCGTTTGGTGTGTCTGTGTGTTACACAGTAAGTATCAGCAGTAACCAATCTATACAATCAAAGATCCAACATGCGGAAGGGCATTTTGAAGCCAATTTTTAGTCATAAACAGAGCGCTGCGCCATCAGGCATGTTCGAAATGCCGAACTGCTGCTCGAATGAGCAGAGGTCACGGGCGCATATACAGTAGGTGGGCTAACTCATGAAATGTCAACCAAATTTCTGAAATGTGTTTTCGTTTCTAAAAGATTAATTAAGTAGGGTTGTAAAACTAAGCATCATGCAGCATAATTCGATAATAATTCAGTTACCTCAGAATGCCGGTATTCGAACGCATTTCTTTCCAGCTGCATGCAAAAACTAAACTCTGTAAAAACGACTTCTTAAGCAGCATGAATTTTTCGCATTGATTTTCGATGTCCCTAAAAATGCAATTATATTTCATGGAAAACATTCGTAAAAATATTAATTTTTGTGTTCATTCGGTAGAAAATTACGTCTTGTTCCAATTTTATACTCGAAGGAAGGTTGTTATTCGGTTTTAAAAAAAATTTCTAACTCCCGGATAATTTTAAACCCGACTTGCCGTTACACATGCATTCAAGGTTTCCCAACCGCAGGCCATATGCTTTCCGCTTACGGAGAACCATACATTTTTCTACGGTATTAAGAGTAGGCCATATAAGGTTCGTAAAATTTAGCCATAAAATTTGAGCCATATTGTTCACCTTACAAGTCACATTGGTAAATGCAGAGACATGACATTTTATGAACAGCTATTTCACGGTATTAGAAAATCTCATAATTAGGAGCTTTTTTAAAACCGATTTATGCCCTTCCTTCGAGTATAAAATTTGAAGAAGACGTTATTTTCTACCGAATGAGTAAGAGAGAGAGAGGACTGCTTTATCTTGAAAATAACTTTCAAAACTTTCAGCAAATTGGTTCTCCAGTACACAGTGATTACCATAGAGATTAACAGGTTTTGGACAGATGGACAGGTGGACATGATTATATATGAAGAAAAAGGGACTTTAAGGTCCAAGATCGAGTTTTAGTTTTTGTTTTTCAACATCTTTGCAGGTGAGATACCGGGCTAGAAATGGCAGTATGGAATTCCGATAGAAAAGAAAACATTTTTATGCATGTTTTCTATGAAATATCATTGAATTTTTAAAGACCCGGAAAATCAACGAGAAAACTCCATGCTACATAAGTAGGCATTTTTTACATAGTGTGATTTTTTCATGCAACCGAAAGAATTTCTTTCAAAGGAAGGCACCCTGAGGTAACTGGATCATTATAGAATTATGCTGGTCGATGATTAGTTCAAGAACCCTACTTAATTAATCTTTTCGAAACGAATACGCATTTCGGGATTCCAATCGACATTTCATTAGTTAGCCCACCTAATGCGCACCCCCCAAGGAATTAGTTTGCACTAACGACAGCAACGCAAGCCTGAGCATTTTGCCCTGCATTTCCGACTGTCGGCGATGCCCAACTTCGCTAAGAACTTGGCGGGAGCCTCGTAACGTGAGCCTTATTCGCCTAATGCGTCGAGGATTCGACAAAGAGGGTGAGCCGTGATAAGTAATTTGCCGAGGGAAGTTATACTGAAGAGCCAGGTGGCGAAGCCATTATTGCGACACCTACGAGCACCGTCGAGAAAGATTCGGCAGTTAGCCACTCTGGCGTGGTCATCCATGCATGTATGGTTGCAACTATGAACACCACTGATGACTGTTCTGGGATCGGTAATTCGAGCTGGGTCTGCCAAGCAGTAGGCATGCGACCG